CACCATCCCCGTCCTCCCAATCCCGCCCCTACAATGCACCGCACTCACCCTCCCCCTCGCCTCATTATCCCTCAACACATCTAAGACCCCGTACATGTGCTCCAGCGATTCGGGGAGAGAGCGGTCGCGGATGGGGAAGCGGTGGTACTCGATGCCTGACTTGTCGATGCCGAGGAGGGAGGCGCGGGCCGGGAGGGCGGGGAAGTAGGAGATGAGCTCGCCGGGCTCGGTGAGGTCGATGAAGGTGCGGACGCCCGCGCGGAGGAGGGCGTCGAGCTTGGGTTTGTGCGGGTTCTTGGGCGTCCAGGGGTACTCGCATGCGAGGAGGAGGGGGGTGGCCCAGTAGGAGTTGGGGATGGGGCGTTTGCGGAGGGCGGTGAGGGGGCGGGGGGAGAGGGCGTTGAGGCGGCGTTGGAGCATGTGGTCGCTTTGGTCTTTGTCTTTGGAGGGGGAGGTTGGGGGTTTGAAGCTTGCCATGGTGGGGTGGGCGATAGAGGGGTGGGTGGGTGGGACGGGGTAGATGGGTACACTTATGGGTAGATGGTAGTGTAGTGCGATGTCCAGGAATGAGGTCCGCTCTTATATAGGCTGGAGTGGGGAATAGTATATATGACGGAGACAATGGGCGTTCGGAGCAAGTTAAGGGTCGTGAAATTGGTGGCTGTGTGCAACGCGGTCATCACGCGGCAACCACGACAATCCTTTCACTTTTCACGTTTTCAATACTCCAACAATACTCCGTGGTGTGCTTGTAACTTTCGGATCCCGGCCGAGTATCCTGGCCTCCTGGCCGTAGCTGTCAAGGATCTGACCATTTGCCACGAAGCTGTGAAAGAAAGACACACCCAAAAATCTCGTGCTCGCCCTCCTCGGACCTCGGGCCTCGCTTCCATTCCTATACAGCCCATAGGCAAAAGATCCAAGTCCGACCTCTCCAATATGATATCCCTACGATGGCGGGATGTAAGGAAGCACCATTGAGGCCCTGGGTCGCTTGAACACACCCACGTTCCACCTTCCATGTCAAGCTCAAGATCGGTATCTCGACCCGCGAATCTGCGGACCACCCAGGAAAGCCAACTGGTCATCACACATGTACTCATACAGTGACACGGAGAATACTCACGATTTCGAAATACCCGACAATGCGTGCAGGACTTAGCACGTTCCTAGTAAGCCCTGAGCGCTGAGCGCTTGAGCCCTCAAGTCCTTCATGTTTGACTCTTACCTACCGTCGTGCTAGACACCGAGCCGGACGAGTTACCCAACCCAAACCTCTCCCCAAGAGATCGAGTAGATGTCTCCCCCCTCTCTCCCGCCGAGTCGCCCGGTATGTGATAAGAGAGAGGCTCTACTATTCGGGCCCAGGGCTGTCGGATCGGAGTATTCCCTGCATGTCTAGACCCTGGGCGCCTTCCACGTTTCGCGCGCAGTGCCATGACACGGTTTAACTTCGCAGTGGATCTGGTTCGAGGAAAGCGGTGGTGATCCGGTGCCATGGGGAGATCTCAAGGATAGTTACCGATTCAGACGTGAGGCTGCGAGCCAACTGGTCATCGCACAGTGACACGGAGGATATTCGCAATTTCGAAATACTCATGAGCACCCAGCTAAATGCGCGCAGTATCACTACTTATCAGCCCTCGCACGTTCCTAGTAAGCCATGAACCCTCGAGTCGTCAATGTTTGACTTTTACTTACCGTCGTGCTAGGAGGAGTTACCAAACCCAACCCAATGCCATAAGAAATCGAAGCTGTTCGCCCCAGCGAGGCAAGGGCAAAGACATCCTCTTCGATACGATCAACTTAGAAGTTAGAGGCATCTAGGCACCTCTCCCCCCCCGAACCCCGAACTCCGATCTGCCCGATATGTGATAAGAAAGGGTTTTGCTATTCAGACTCGGACACGTCGAAGGAATTCTCTACATCATCATTTCCAAACCATGGGCGCCTCATATTTCGTGCGCTGTACCATGATACGATCTCATTTCATGGTGGATCTGGTTCGGGGAAAGCGGTGGTGAGCCGGTGCCATGGGGAGATCTCAGGGATACATCACCAATTCAGATATGGCGGGAGGTGCGCCGGCTTGCGGCTGCGGGAATGTTGGGTATTCATCCCCACATCCCACCCCCGCCCTGCTCCCCTTGTCTCTACGTCCCTTGAGTAGGTGGTGGTCGTAATCGGAGCTCGTTCCATTCCCTCTCTCAGCGTCAAACGGGATATGAGCGCCTGAAGTGCCACCTCTGTACCTCGCCTCAAATGCGGACGTGAAGGTGCGTGTAATTGGACCTCCCCACACGGGCTAAGCTCAAAGCTGTGCAGATCGTGGTACCATGTTCACGAACCCCGGAATCAAAGCAACTCAGTCTCGTGCCCCACCCAATCTCTTATCCGGATCGATCCAGACACCTACAGGCTTCTAATGCCTCAGCCTGCCCTTGCAATCCTCTCTCCACAAGTAATCCCCCCTCATCTCTCAATCCACACCCTTACACCCATGTCCACGCTTATTCCCACCCGCGCCTGGTGGAAATCCGCCATCGTATACCAAATTTACCCCATCTCCTTCTGCGACTCCAATGGCGACGGCCTCGGCGACCTCCCCGGCCTCCTCTCCAAGCTCCCCTACCTCCAAGACCTTGGCGTGGAGGTCCTATGGCTCAGCCCGATATACCGCTCGCCCCTCGCAGACATGGGGTACGATATCTCGGACTATCGCGATATCGATCCGAGGTATGGGACGCTGGGGGAGTGGGATGAGCTCGTGCGGGAGGTGCATGCGAGGGGGATGAAGATTATGTGAGTGTTTCGTCCTCGGGGTGTGGTATTTGTTTCTGACGATGGGGGTTGGGGTGGATAGGATGGATCTGGTGGTGAATCATACTTCTGATGAGGTCCGCATTTTCTTTTTGACCCGTCCCGTCCCCCTTGTACGTACGTGGGATGTTACAGCTCACTCTCTCCCTCCGTTTTCGCAGCACGAGTGGTTCGTCCAATCCAAGTCGAGCAAGACCCACCCAAAGCGGGACTGGTACATCTGGCGCCCGCCCCGGTTCGACGCGGACGGGAACAGGCACCCACCTAATAACTGGAGGTCCGTGTTCCAAGGTGCGTCCGCGTTTTCGCCTTGTCCTTGTCGTGGAGTGACGAGGCTGAGTTGGGTGGGTTTCCAAGGCTCAGCATGGACGTACGACGAAACGACAGAAGAGTACTACCTCCACCTCTACGTCTCGAAGCAGCCGGATCTCAACTGGGATAACCCCGCCGTGCGCGAGGCGGTGTGGGATCTCATGCGCTTTTGGATCGATAGGGGGTGTGATGGGTTCCGCGTGCGTTTTTCCAAAGTTCACCCTCGCGTCCGACCCCCGACCTGTGTCGTAGATGGATGTGATCAACCTGATATCGAAGGTGGAGGGCCTGCCGGACGCGCCGATTACGGATCCAGAACAGGAGTATCAGCTCGCGAGCGCGTTGTTTGCCAATGGGTGCGTGGTCCCCCCCCCGCCGTTCTAAATATAGGCTCGGGATGACGAGAATCCTCCCATAGACCGCGAGTCCATGAGTATATCAAAGAAATGAACCAAAAGGTCCTATCCGGTACGTCCCCCTCCCCGCCCCACTCCTCCCTTGCCAAAACCAAACATCCGACCCCTCCACGCAGGGCATGATTTAATCACGGTAGGCGAGACACCCTTCACCCACGACGCCGCGCAGCTGGCGGCGTACGTCCTCCCCAGCAACGATGAGCTCAACATGGTGTTCCACTTTGAGCTCATGGACCTGGACTCGCCGCTTGGTGGGGAGCATAGGCCGCTCGAGAACAGGGAGTGGAGGTTGGCTGAGTTTAGGGAGATTGTGGGGAGGTGGCAGGGGTTTAAGCGCGACGAGGGGTTTTGGAACGCGTAAGCTCCAAGCTCGTTTTTGGGTGCCGGCGCTGAAACCATGTGTGTGTGGTTCTGTTCTGCGTAGGACCTTCATCGAGAACCACGACCACTCGCGCGCGGTCTCGCGCTTCGGGAACGATTCGGAGGAGTGGCGCGGGGTGTCTGCGAAGATGCTGGCGGTGCTGCAGGTGTCGCTTGGGGGCACGCAGTACGTGTATCAGGGGCAGGAGCTGGGGATGAAGAATTTCCCGAGGTCGTGGGGCGTAGAGGAATATAAAGACGTGGCGTCGCAGAATTACTGGGCTCGGTGAGTGGTCAGATGCATATGGTCTTCAAGGCGGAAGAACTTGAGCTGAGCCCTTTTTTGGCGGGTGGTAGGGTGTTGGAGAAACGGAAGGAGGCAGGGGGCGGGGAGGTGGATATGGAGGATGTGTTGGATGGGTTCCAGAAGAAGGCGAGGGATCATGCGCGTGTTCCGATGCAGGTGGGAGATGCGTGGCTCCCTATCGCTCGACATCTTTCTGATTATGTGCCTTTTAGTGGGACGCTACGAAGCACGCTGGGTTCACGACTGGGACACCATGGATGCGGGTGAACGACGACTATGAGACCTGGAACGCCGCCGCTCAACTCGACGACGAGAATAGCGTTCTCAGTTTCTGGAAACGAGCTCTCCAGATGCGCAAGGCGCACGAAGTCCTGGTACATACGTCCTCCCTACCTCCCCTCTATGAACGTTCCTGATCGCACCCCTGGACAGATTTATGGCGACTTTGCCGACATCTCGCAGGACCATGAGCAAGTCTTCGCTTATACCCGGACGCTGGGGAATACCACTGCGCTCGTGCTGCTCAATTTCAAAGAGGCGGAGGTCCCGTTTTCGCTGGGCTCTGAACGGGATTGGCGTGCGTTCAAGCTTGTGCTCGGAAATTATCACCGGGAGACGCGGGAAGTGGAGCCGATCGCTGATGGTGTCGTTTTGAAAGGATTCGAGGGGAGGGTATACATTCAGTAAAGGATCTTGTACATGTTGTGCCGCCCGCCAGAGGGTAATTCACGTCCTTGATGAAGCATTCATGAGGTCGATATGGTATGGAAAGGATGGACCACCAAGGCGCTATAGTGTAGTGGCTATCACACGGGATTTTGAAATTCGATTTGAAGTTCCCGCAACCCAGGTTCGAACCCTGGTAGTGCCTTTGTTTACATTCAGGTCCTTCTGACAATTTTTGATGACTTTCGTTCTTGTATTTTTCTAAAGGAAGCGGCACGACCAGTATACTGTATTCGTGAAGTATATGAATTCAGGCTTCAGCATAGTAAGCGCCTCGCACCGGAGTCGGCGAAAGGCGGCAGAGCCTAGAGGGGAGCTTCAACCCTAGGGGTCAATATTTCAATAGTATGAGTCAGTTGTGTGTCGAACGTTTGAATTCAGGCTTCAGCATAGTAAGCGCCTCGCACCGGAGTCGGCGAAAGGCGGCAGAGCCTAGAGGGGAGCTTCAACCCTAGGGGTCAATATTTCAATAGTATGAGTCAGAGTTGTGTGTCGAACGCGCTGGAAGCCTGGAAGGAAAGGAGGAGACGTCGCGAAAAATGAATCTTGCGGCCTCGCCGTGCCTCGTCATAGGCGCTATAGTGTAGTGGTCATCACTCGAGATTTTGAGGTTTCCTGACTTTCTCGAAACCCAGGTTCGAACCCTGGTAGAGCCTTGATGTATGGGTATGACGCTTTTTGCCCGCTACATACTTCGTTGGTGCAAGCTTCCACAGTTCCAACTTCCTAGTCAGCCAGGGGCCAGGGCCTAGGAGTTACTAGTCAGGACACAGGAGTTTTCTATCGTCGTGTTGAGTCTTGACAACAGTCCTATAACCCATATGTCCGAGGCCAGACGGAAGTGTATTCGGACGGGGGACGGACGAGGGACGCGAAGATCGTAACTCGGTAGACTAACAAAATACAGGACTGTTCTACTGTGGCTTCACATAGGAGACCTCCGTCAGCCAAACATGTCCATCATTGGTGTAAAGTTGGTGGAGTCGAAGGTGGTTATAGCTAATTTGGTTCGTTCCCAGTGATGGACCTGATCCTCGGAAGTCTTTACTGTGCTTCTGCCGAAAGAAATGTTCAGCAACGCGTCGATTCCTTCTGCAGTCGTACATACCTGATAGAAGCGGCGCCAGAGGCAGGCGACTTGAGCCGCCATATGCGCCACGGTGAGTGGTGCGCCATTCGGGTGGACAAAGATGATCTGCTCCCTCCACTTTAGGTGCTGGTATCCCGGGAACTGGCAGCGCATCGTCGAGATGAGTCGGATAGCATACATTGAAGGGAGTGGGGGCGTACCGTGATAACAAGGATACCTGACTTCAATTGTCGCATGCGTGATGGTAACTGACTGAAGACAGACTGCGTAGGGACAGCGATGCCTTCGCTATACTCGCATTCCGTGAACGCGACGCCGATTCCGACCCCGTCGCTGGGATGGAAACGAATAGCGGGGAACTGGGTGTGGTTGGGAGAGACGATCTCGGATGGCAGCCCGCGATGCCAGTAGTCGCTCTTGATTTTGCCGGCGCCGGTGAAATCGATGGCGCCGCGGCGAGAAGTGTTGTGTGCGGGGCCGTATCCGTACTCGCGAGGATCGATTGTTGGGTTCGTCATTTTGTGTGTGGTGAAGATCGAGATGGAGGGGTTATGCGTGCGTAGTTGTGGGTCGTCTAGATGTTGTTGGACATTCCTGAGCATGGACCATTTTATACTAGTTAGGGCAAAGCGTCAATGGGATCTCGAAGAAAGACGCCGAGAGTTGACGCTACAATGGCCGCGTGCACTTCAAAGATCGTCAATGGGCAAAGCAGCCAAAGCCGACGTTTGAAAGAAGAGCCACCTTGGCCACTTCACTTCTATGAATCACGTCCATTGTGATGTATGCGCGCCAGAAAGAAGAATGGGGCCAAGAGACAGCGTATCCAGCCCATTCATGGATGGCGAGCATAGCGCCCTTTGTACGGTGGTCTAACCAACAGTGAGCAAAGCTCGACTCGGGCCATGCCTTCTCATCCCATTGATCTGGTCTATGCTGGCCGGGACGTGAGATCTTGAGATCTCAAATCCGAAGCTATGGCAGGGCTCCTCATGTAAACTCCAAAGATTGGGCCTTCGAGGCCATACATCCGTGATATGAGCTGTTCGGAATCGATGATGAAAGACAAGAGTCAAGAAGTTCCCACGTATAAGAGGTCCTCAAAGACACAGGTCGAATCATTGGCAAACATCCTCGTATCACATTGCTCAGGTCGAATCAGACTATTAGTATGCGGATTCTAATACGACCCGCCTGAGTATGCCTACACTTAGTGATACAACACAGTCCCACTGCAATTACAGCGTGTACAGGTACCAAAACCGGCCACATCGTAGGCCTGCGCCCTTCACGTTCCTTCTCCCTTACGCCCTGTCAAAAGCACCAAGAAACGCACTCCCAAACACCGTCAGAACCGGCACAAAACCCCAATGACTCCACTCTCCCCGTCCCACCTGCGCCCTCACCACAGCCCCATCCGCGAACGCCGCCCCCCCGGCCGCAATCAGGATCGCACCCAACGTCTTGCGGTCCGCAAAATACGCGGCGGCGTAGACAGCCAGGCCCATGAATATGTCTCTGGCGCCGTAGACCGCCACTAGGCTGTCGACGAGCTTCGCGTCTATGGGGGAGGCGGGTGCGGTGAAGTCGAAGAGGGTGAGGGCGTGTTGGGGGCGGAGGATGGCGTTGATGCCGATTGCTATGGGGATGAGGGCGAAGACCTTTGCGACGGTGTGGAGGGCTGGGGATTGGGAGAAGCGTGGGGTGGACATGTTGGGTAGGTTGAGACGTACGGGCTGTTAGGGGGGGTCAATCGTTGGGTAGCAGTGGGGGGGTGGTTTTGCGCACCTTTCGTGAGGGTCGTTGAGTAGGGTATGGGCTTCGTTACTCGTAGATGGCGTTATAACTTATGGTGATGGTTGGGTTTCGGGTGTGCGTGCTAGAGCCAGACTTGAGGCAGATAGTTTTGGTTAGTATAACTGGTGTTGGAACTCCGCGACTTGGAGATATGTTTCGTCGACCCTTGATATAGATACCTCGTCGACTCGATTACCAAAGTTCGGGCAGAAGGAGGGGTTGTATGTTTTCACACGGCTTTACCTGTGAAAAGACGGATGAGTACTCGAGAGATGCGGCCTGAATGGGTCTTGGACGTCAGTGCTCCTGGCGCGCGTAGGGTAGAAGATGACCACGACTCTTTTGGCGTCAAGGTTGCGCCAAGTCTTGTATGCCACGACCGCGTCTAAAACGTCCGTATCGCAATGTGATGCATGATGAAGATAGATCAGTAATGACAGAATAACGTGGCGTTAGTCTGAAACGAATCTGAGGGTCTGTATGGTCGAAAACAAGAACAAGAAGCAGGAAAGGGTTAGCAGGGAACAAAAAGGTAAATAGTAAATATAATATTTGATTCCATGTGATATCTGCTATGTCAAGATACGCTTCTTCTCTGACTCTGACTCTCCATCAAACGATATACCCGACCTGTCGCCGCCAGCTGGCGCAGTGTTGAACGACATCCACAACGGAAAAAAATACAAGTTATGCAGGCCTGACTTGCACGGAATACCCACCGACGTCCTATTGAATACCTATAGAGAAAGATTGCCAAACCGCCTTCGCCATGAACTCAGGAATTAGCCGCCAAGGCCTCGCCATCCTCGCCATTATACCCGTCCTCATAACAATCCGTCGGGTCTGGCTGCGCTCAAGGCGTGTAATCAAAGTCCCCAAGATCGACGAGCGCGTGCTCATCCTCGGCGCGTCCAGCGGGATCGGGCGCAGTATCGCGCATCTATACGCTGAGCGGGGGGCAAGGGTATGTGTGGTAGGACGGAGACAGGAAAAGATCGAGGAGGTGGCGAAGGAGTGCCGCGAGAGGGGGGCGCTGAGCTCGGGATATGGCGCTACGAGAATTATGGGCGTCACTGGCGACTTTGCGGACGTCGATGATATGGTGCGGCTTCGTACCACGCTGGAAACTGGTGTGTAGTTATTGCCTCTCTATCTCCGCGTATACTTGTGGTACTGATTCGGATGACAGAGTGGCAAGGCGTTGATACTGTCATCGTTGCGGCTGGGGTATCGGCGTTGCAGCCCCTGATGGCGGTGGCTGGCGTGGAATCGCATAGTAAGGGATCGAAGTTTATGCCTGCAAAAGCCACCAGGGTAGGAATCCACCAAGCAGTAGATGTCGCCGCAGCAGCGACACGAGGCAACTACGTCGGCCCTCTCGTGGCCGCCATCACTTTCGTACGCCGGTCCATAATTTTGGTGAATCAATACTAAACCTCGTATCCAGATTCCGCTCCTCACCGCAACCTCCGACGCACCCTCAATACTCCTCGTCTCCTCCCTCGCTGCCCTCATCCCCGCCCCGACACGCACGATCTACGCCTCCACCAAAGCCGCCTCTCTCGTCCTCTACCAAGCCCTTTCCATCGAGCACCCGAGCGTTAACTTCACGTTCTTCATGCCCTCCACCGTCGAGGGCGACTTCCGCGCCTCTGCAGTGGACAAGGGACCCGTCCGCGAGGCGGACCCGAATAAAAATGGGCTTAAGAGGGAAGACGTCGCGCAGAGGTGCATCGAGGCTGTGGATACTTATGAAAAGACGGTGTTCATGCCAAGGTTGATGAGGCCTGCGCATATCCTATATTGGCTCTGGCCGTCGTTTGTGGAGTGGCGGGCTAGGAAGAAGTACAATTTCAGCGCATGATCCCGCCCTTCGTGGTTCCTTTTCTCCCTTCCGAATCCTACATACCCTATATATGATCCGCCCCGTAGTACTTACTTCCGAGTCATACGCGTCGCATATATTGTCGCATATATTGAAATGACATCTGAGTCCGGATCTTCCATCTAACCCGTACAAAAGCGCAGGGCCGCCTAGAACCTAACCCTAAGCGCTGGTTCCCTTTCCTTTCCCCACACCACCAACCACCATCATCATGGTCGTCCTGGCGCGTCCCCTCCGCCGACTCCTGGGCCGCCCCTCCGTCCTTTCATACTTCCACACCACAGCCATACCGTGGGCGCCTAAGAAGGTGATCCAGAAATTTAAGCTCGCAGACATTGGGGAGGGTATCACGGAGTGCGAGGTCATAAAATGGTCCGGCCGGAACTAAATTTCACCCCTACTCCAACGACTCGCGACTAACGATTTCCCCCCGCAGGTCAGTGCAGCCCCTAGCCAAAATCCAAGCCTTCGACCCCCTCTGCGAAGTGCAAAGCGACAAAGCCAGCGTCGAGATCACGAGCCCGTTCGATGGCATTGTTAAGGAGCTGCTCGTGCAAGAGGGGGAGGTGGCGAAAGTGGGATCTGGGCTGTGTTTGATTGAGGTGGATGAGGAGGCCGTGGAGGGCGCTGATCCTGCTGCTGTGGAGCCTGTGGACACTCCACCATCTACGCCCGCCCCAGAACCTGCAAGTCCCAGGGAAACGGAACCAGAACCAGAGGCGGAAACGAAAGCTGAGCAGCCGCGGAGGCTGCACCCCCTAGACCCGAACTTCATATCACCAATGCCGGGACAGGGCGGGTCAGGAGAACACGTCCTCGCCCCGCCTTCGGTGCGACACTTCGCGCGTCAGAGCCAGGTGGATCTCGCACAGCTTATGCCTGGG